AGTTTCAGGTTAAGTACGGACCTCCGGAATGAATTAAGTACTTAACCCCAGGTACCACTGTATTTCACATTGACGACTTCTTGTTGTTTAGTCACATCCGACTCTTTGTGACCCCATGGACCAGAGCACACCAGGCACTCCTGTCTTCCAGTGCCTCCCACAGTTTGGTCAAACTCATGTTGGTAGCTTTGAGAACACTGTCCAGCCATCCTGTCCTCTGTCTTCCCCTTCTCCTTGTGCCCTCCGTCTTTCCCAACATCAGGGTCTTTTCCAGGGAGTCTTCTCTTCTCATGAGGTGGCCAAAGTATTGGAGCCTCAGCTTCAGGATCTGTCACATTTACTTACACATGTTATATAATCTTACATTCCACTAGCAGCACAGCAAAGCTTTAGGATACCAAAATGCTTTCTCAGCAGGCCATTTAAGAAAAGTATCACCCAGGTTTTAATATTTGCTTTAGAGATACCAGTAAAGTAGCGCAAAACAATAAGTATCCATAAACGAAGCATGGTAAGTAGCCAATAGCTGCAGGAGCAAGAGACACTGGATGGAAGTGTGTGGTTTTGCAAACTGCAAGTGCCCTTGATAAGAGGGAGAAAACTGCATTTTCTCAGCAGCATTTTCTCTGTTCTCTTTACAGGGCAGTTCTGTACATGTCTGCCCAGACGGAAGTCCCACTGTCCGACTGATTTCATAGGGCTTACTCCCAACTCAGTTGATATAGGATTGCAGGCAATGAGAGGCTTATTTGTGGCCAGTGAATTTCTATCACTGCTCTCTGCACTAAATAAATGAGTGAGTGGGTGCGAGTGCAATCATATACACAGTGCTTCTTTCGTGGGGGGGACGCAGGGGTATGCATACCCCTAAACATTTTGTGAATCTTTGTACTTTTGTCCATTTACTCTATTTATTTTCCCCCATTGGAACTATAAAATGGTGGGTTTTTGGAGTCAAAATGAGAGTACCCCAAAACATTTTATAAGAAAAAAGCACTGCGTATACATATTTGTTAGTTGCTTTGAGAGGCGGTGGCTCGACAAAGCGGGATTTTAAATAGAAATAAATAAAACAATAAAAAATAGCAGTTCAAAAGCATACCAATGCAAGTAGATAAATAAAACAATATAAACACAATTGCAGAGGAAAAGATACGCCTAGATCTCCCCATAGCAAATGAGCAGCTGATGGCGGTACATTTTTTAAAGACGTCATCCCAAAAGGCCCTGTGAGGCAGATGGTCCGGAAATGGAGACATTTTGTGAAAATCTCCGATACTGGACGCAGCATCTTTATCAGAAAACTCTCTGCCTCTGAGGGCATTTTGGAATGGCAGCTCTTATTGCACAATGACACCTTTGTGCTTTAAAACACGTTTCGTTTCTTCTGGCTGCTGTTACCATCTTTGGCAGGTTTTAAATGGCCGCTTGCCAAAAGTAGCTGCCTTTGCTCAAATTCCAGGCACGGATCCAGAGGCCGATTGCTGTCCTTTAGCGAACTGGGCAGCTTTGACAGGTGAGCAGTGGGATGTTGTAGGGCTGGAAAGCAAAGTCAATGGGGTGCTTCAAGAAAATGACTTGCTATGGGCCCAGGGCAGCTCATGCATTCAAGTTCTTCACAGCTTCCAGTTTACATAACCCTCATAAACATGCCACCCTGTTCCCAAGCGCTGAATCTGGATTTACCATTTCCACATGGTGCTTTGCTATATTACTTAAAGGTAAAGGGACCCCTGATCATTAGGTCCAGTCGTGACCGACTCTGGGGTTGTGGCGCTCATCTCGCTTTATTGGCCGAGGGAGCCAGCGTACAGCTTCCGGGTCATGTGGCCAGCATGACTAAGCCACTTCTGGCGAACCAGAGCAGCACATGTAAACGCCGTTTACCTTCCCACCGGAGTGGTACCTATTTATCTACTTGCACTTTGACATGCTTTCGAACTGCTAGGTTGGGACCAAGCAACGGGAGCTCACCCCATTGTGGGGATTCGAACCGCCGACTGTTTAGGGGTACTCTCATTTTGACTCAAGAAAATCACTGTTTTATAGTTCTAATTGGGGACAATAAATACAGCAAATGGACAAAAGTACAAAGAACATGCATTACCTCATATTGCACAGCTGACAGTAACTTCCATGTTGGTGTGAGGTTGTGTGCACTAACATCTTCCCGATTCCTCTGGTTGCTGTTGGTGAAAAATAGTAATTTTCCTACTCATATTGAAATACTGTCCCTCAATGAGGTCAAATTTTCATCAGTAAAACACCCCACATCCACATTCCACACTGCTTCACACATTAAACGCTCGCTTCTGTCTGAGACTCAGGAAACACCGGGAAAGGAAATGAAGCCGCCATCGGAGGTGGTAACAACGGAACTGACTATTCACCGTGCTAGAGAAGAAACTTGTAACATTTTTAGTTTCTTCTCCCCTTAGATTCGTAAAATGTTTAGGGGTATGCATACCCCTGCTTCCCCCCAGAAAAAAGGCACTGTACTTAGCAGATTTTCCATGGAAATGGTAAATTTGGATTAAATGGGAAGAGAAGCTGAGATAGCATTTTTGATGAGGACATTGTGTGGTCGCTGCAGAAAACCCCCCAAAAGCTTGCATGCATGAGCACCCCAGGTTTGCAATAAACTGCTGTGTGACAGCCTCCTATATCAACTCATATGCATTATGTGAGACTTTCTTAGGGTTCTTTCAGTAAGGGATGCTGCCTTGAATTAAGGTATCCATTTTGGTAGCCTGAGAGAGAATACCGACATTTTGATTAGCACCGCAGTATGAAAAAGAATTCAGTGTCATTCGAAATCATGCCGTCTGATATACAGGAAACTTCCTTCAATGGATCACCAGCTTTGATCCATCAATCTGACTGTATTGTCCACAGTGACGGGCAGCAGTTCTCCAGGATCTCAGGAACAGATCTTTTCCAGCCCTTCTTAGAGATGCTAAAGGGTAGACCATGGGTCGGCAAACTAATGTCCATGGTCCGGATCAGGCCCAATTGCCCTCTGGATCTGGCCTGCAGACGGTCCTGGAATTGCCGCTTGGGTCAGCATGATCATTCGGGCTGCGCCATATTTTTTTTCAGACGCCATTTTTCCCCGCCTCCCTCACACACACCACAGCGGCGCCTCCTCCCTCCTCCTGGCTTCTCCCTGCCCTGCAGAGGAAGGGAGCTAGGCTTTGATTGGTGCCAGCCAATCTGAAGCCTCACTGCCCACACACTGAGGTGCAGCCCAGACTCGCCACCCATCCACCAGCCTCTCTGTCCATGGCCACGCTGTGGGCATCATGTTGCAGGGCTTTGGCTGGAGCTTGGTGCCCGGGAAAGCTGGCCTGGAAAGGAGAGGCGCCACCAGCTCCCAACCGCAAGCAGAGCGGTGGAGGAGGTAGGAGAGCAGGGGGAGGGGGAGGGGCTGGGGGGGAGAGAGAAACCCCCCTCCACTGCGTGCAGTCCAGCCCGCCACAAGATCTGAGGGGCGGTGAACTGGCCCCCTCCTTAAAACGTTTGCTGACCCCTGAGGTAGACCTTTGCATGGTCACCTTATAACATAGGGTGGGCCAATTAGAGAGAAAAATGTGTCTTCTTTTCATTCACTGGTGTCGGGAGCAAGTCACGCAAGTTGGGAGTTCACTCTTTATGAGCAAGAACCAGACTTGGCAGAGTTTCAGGCCTAATGTGCACAGCAGCTCATCCTCAGTATATCTTGCCCCGTGGATTAGTTGCTGAAACTGAAAACCCCTGCATCCCCACAGCTGTCTAAGTCCTGTCCTCCCCAGGGTTTCCCCCAAGCAATCAGAGATTGTGCCTTTGTGAAGCTAATTTCTCCTCCACCCTTTTCATGTCTCTTCTGATTTTGGGAGACCAGGTGCGGAGCTTGTTGCAGCAGGAGAGGGAGACTCCCGTGACTCTTTACCAGCTGGACTCGTCTCTGCCTCTTGGCAGACTCTCCTGCTTCAGCTTCTGCCTCTGATTTTGGACTTCTCTCTGCCACAGACTCCCGCAGCTCACTAAGCCCTGTTACCTCTTTGAATAGCCCATGCTGATGAGAGGGACACTTTCTAGATGCACCAGCCCATTTGCTATTGAAAACACAATGCTGCACTAGCTAGAATTTCTGATCCAGCATAGAAAGGCTTAGTGTATTGTGTTTTATTGTCTTCCAAAGCAACCACAGTGGTACCTCGGGTTAAGTACTTAATTCGTTCTGGAGGTCTGTTCTTAACCTGAAACTGTTCTTAACCTGAAGCACCACTTTAGCTAATGGGACCTCCTGCTGCCACTGCACCGCCAGAACACGATTTCTGTTCTCATCCTGAAGCAAAGTTCTTAACCCGAGGTACTATTTCTGGGTTAGCGGAGTCTGTAACCTGAAGCGTATGTAACCTGAAGCGTATGTAACCCAAGGTACCACTGTACTCTATTCCGAACTTAAAAATGGAAGGTGTATGGCTATGAGATTAACCCCACTCAATGGACCAGAATGTGGTCTAAACCCCCCTTTAAATCCATATCAACGAAAAGAAAAGAACTCACACTGAAACTCACCTACAGGTGGTACCTAACACCAAGGAAACTAGCGCTAATACACCCAGGAACCTCACCAAAATGCTGGAGAGGGTGCACCTCCACAGGCACATACCTCCACATGTGGTGGGAGTGTCCCAAAATCCAACTATTCTGGACAACAGCCATACAAGAAATATGTAAAATAACTAAGCAAGTAATAGACATCACCCCAGAATTGGCCCTACTAAACATCTTCCAAGACAACAATGCCCATTTACACCACAAGGAACTCATAACCCACCTGCTCTCAGCAGCCAGAAACACCATAACCAGACACTGGAGAGACCTGTCAGGAGTAAGCATGGACCAATGGTACCAAATAGTATGGGAAACAGCCCTACTAGAAAAATTAACTAATAAACTGAAACTGACACGGGGACAAACAGAAGAAGACGCCTTCACCCCGGTATGGCTCCCTTTATCACATACACAGCCCAACAGGACAATGACAATAATCCACCAACAGCATACAAATCAATATGGCTAACCTGATCCAAAACACCCACCCACCTCACTCACACACGAAAACAAAGATCACCACAGCCAATCACAAGCAAACAATCACACCCTAGGCCAACCCCAACCTCTCTCACCACCAAAGGAACACAAGTGAACAACACAAGCAACGCTGACACCAAACTCTACATACATTAAACATAATAGAAACACCGCCACCCGACCCCACCCCCATCCATCTTCCCTCTCTCCACCCCCCCTTTTTCTTTTTTCTTTTTTTTTTCTTCTCCCCCTAATGCCTCAACAAATGAAACGGATTTGTAAAAATGTTACATGGGGAAAAAAAATACGAGGCACTACACTTCTGTAAAACAAGAAAATCCTTAATAAAATATTTTAAAAAAAAATAAAAAAAAAATGGAAGGTGTAATGCCGGTGGTTAAAAGACTCTCTCAAGGCAAATCTCAAAAAACGTAGTATAAACACCAACAACTGGGAAACACAGGACTGTGAACGCTCCAATTGGAGAGCAGCCTTTACCAAAGGTGTCATGGGCTTTGAAGACACTCGAACTCAGGACGAAAGGGAGAAACGCGCTAAGAGGAAGGCATACTTGGCAAACCCTCACCGTGGTCAACTCCTGCCCAGAAACCTAGGTCCCTACTGTGGAAGGACATGTGGATCCAGAATTGGCCTCCACAATCACTTATGGACTCCCTGTTAAGACCAGGTTCATGGAAGACAATCTTACTTGGCTACGAGTGATTGCCAAAGAAGAAGAAGAAGAAGTTACCTCTTCAGCTTCTGACACCTCCACCTCCCAGTCTTTCTCTTTTCTTTCTGACCTCTCATTGTCTTCCCACCACCAGTCCCCAGGCTCTGAGCCCTCTTCCCTTGGGGGTTCCCCAGCTGGTTCCTCCCGTCATTCCTCTGCGTCCAACCGATCCATGACATCTGGTGCCTATTGCCTGCTTAATCTGCTCGCTGATACTCTTTTCATCCTTCAAAGTGGAGGAGGCTGGCAGACAAGGTCGCTTTCACTGTTAGACTGTTTTTAGTGTGTGTGCTTTTTAAGAAAAAGACCTGAGGGTTGGTGTAGCGCTCCTTCCCCCACCTCAATCCTCCAAGAAGCTCTCAAGTCATTAGGGGCTGATTGGATTCACTTGGCAAACACAGACAAAGGTCTGGCTGTTGTTGACTGTGCGTAAAGTGTCCATCTGACTTCATCTGCTCTGTTTGAACAAAGGATTTCCTGTTGGTGTGCTGATGTGTCCTTGGGCACTGCTGGCTGGGTTGAATGGTTATGCTCCCAGGGTTCTCTCTCCCCCTTCCCAAAATATGAACACATAATGTTGGTGGAAGATGGCAGCTACGACAGCTGGGAAAGATGTTGTGCCTGTGTGTGTGTGTGTGTGTGTGTGCATGCACACTCACAGAACTACACACACATGCATACACACTGTATTTGCTCAAGGCAGGTGGAGCCTCATTCTGAGAACGTGCCGTCTGTAAAAAATACGCCACATTTTATTTATTTACACAGTATTAGAGTCGACCTTTTCACAAATCCTTTTTTCAATGTAATAAAAGACAACATAAAAACGCAATAAGATTTTAAAAACAATCAACGCACAAAGCTGAACAGCAGCAGAATAATCGGAAGTGGTACAGTTCAGAATTCTACCAACTCTGTCGTTTACCTGCTCATTCTGTATTCAAGCTGTTAAAAGAATTTAAGGTCTCAGATATACAAATTAAATGTACAAGGCAAACACGTACTTAAATATATAAACCACATGTCTGAAACAGTACAGGAAGACAGTCCTGAAACCATTTTGACTCTCCCAAACTGACCATATGTTTCTCTGCAAGGAGGGAGGAAATGAAAAAAAACCTCCCCATTGTCTCTGTGCTCACAAATCCTGCCTTAAGGGCACATTTAAGGAGTGAATAGGGTGAGCCTATGACCTGGCTCAGGAATTAAGTATTTATCATTACAAAAGAATGGCCAGGCTGCCCGGGTGATCCAATCAGTGACCATTGACAGGTTTTTTGCCAGACAGGATTTTGCTGGAGACCACCTCTTTCTGTGATGTATGCATGATGTATTGGGGGTGGTGGTCTTGGGCTACACCCCTTCTGTGATGTATGTATGATATTTCTGGGGGTGGTCCTGAGTTTGAGGGTGGGCAATTTCAAAAGTTTATATAGTGGCTGGCACACCTTTGTTCTGGGTTCCTCCTCTTTACTGCTTGTGGTGAGTGAGGACCCTGTTGCAGCAGTTTAATAAAGATCAAGCTTAATAGCTGCTTTGCTTCTCAATATTCTCTGGTTGGCCTCTGTTATTTTCTCCTACCGATAGGGAACCCACTTAAGGACTCTATACATGCTCTGGAATACCCCATAAGGGAAAAGGGCAGATTTTGTTTACAACAAAGCCGATTTAAGAAAGGGATTCACACGCAAACCATCTATTTTGCATAGGTACATAGTGTTCTCAGCCCGTTAACAGACAAACAAAACTCACATTTTACTGCTTCCAAGGTTTAGCCACACAGCCCACTGTGCATTAGTAAATGGGGAAGCTGAACTGCCTTGTGCTACGCTGACGAAGGACCGCAAAGTGATTGCACACACAATGGATCCTTTTTGCTCTTTCTCTGGAAGATCTATGCCATCGGCAACACTGCGGCACAAACTGCATCTGCAGAACCAGCCGATAAAGGCCCCGCATTGCCCTATTCACAGCTTACATATATGGGGCATTTCGACAGATTGTGTTTGTTTTTAAGATGCTGCAAGACTCTTCCTTATTCTTTGCTGTAACAGACCACCATGGCTACTTTGCTGGACATGCAGGGCAGAGTATGTCCCTGGCAAAATCTGCTTTGCCCCCGGGACATCCTACCCCAGCCTCCACCCGTGCTGTCATTCTCATTCCTTGCTGGGATCAAACACACACCAGCATGGGTTGCCCCGGGCGATAAGCTCAGGATGAGAGTTCCTGTCCGCTCAAAAGAATGAGTAACATTCTCCACTTGTCAGAGAGCAAAGGAAGGGCATCATTCACACCCCTCTCCTGTTGCATCTGGCTGCCACCTCCTCTGCCAGAGACCAATGTCAAACAGAACATAGCTGGCAAGCCACAAGCTGTCTGTCACTGTGACATAGAGTTGCCACGCAGCAGAAAGAAATAAGGAAAACAGCCTGACCACCTCTCCCACTTTGGAATCCATTGTCAGGAAAGCAAGAAGCAAGGCCATCGCTAACACCATGGCATTTGCTGTCTGGTTTTTAGCTGAGCCCCTTAGTGTAGCCTTTGCCAACCTAATGACTGCCAGAAAAATGCAACGTATACGTATCAAGACTTTGAGATTAGACCACTGAAGAAGCCCGGAAAACTATCTTGGGAGTGTGCTACCTGCAAGCCCCAGTTAAAGAGCCCCATCGGGGGCGAACAGCGGCCTTTTGATTACTTGGACTGCCAGGGCGAAACAGATGCAAAACGCCGGCACCCTGTCTCTATCTACAACTCTACTAGCATCTCTTGGTATTGTGAATATCACCAAACTTACCTTTTGTTGGTATCTTCATGAACTTATCTAAAAGACTGAGTTAAGCATTTGAAAAATCTATTGAAAACAGACATTATAAGTTCATTTTAGTTTGGGTAGTTCGCAAGTCTTTGTGGCTTTGTTTAATGTTATGTATTTTTCTCAGAAGGTTGATAAAGTATGTATAATTATTGTTCTGTGTATATTAATCACCAACGTGTTGCATGAGTTGCACTGCAACCTAATGACTGCCAGCTGTTTTGGACTACAATTCCCATCAGCCCCGGCCCAGGCAATAGGTTGACAGCGGCTGCCTTAATGAATGAACAGCATGGACTGGGTCTCCCATCCTCACCCTGTATCCATCACGCCCCCCACTACTGCCCTGGGACTTTCTTACAGTCCATCTTGGACTGCTCCACTAGCTCCACTAGCTCTACCAGCAGAACCCTTTGTGGGCCCCACATAGATACTAGAAATTTTGATTTCAGTAGATTTATTATTTGTTTGTTGGATTTATTCTTACTTGTTAGTGAGCTGGGGGAGATCAGCTGCATGGGCTCATTTCCTTACCTCCTTCCTTCTCAATGTTCCTGACTATAATTTAGTTCATAATTTAGGTCATGATTTAGGTTCATAATTTAGAGGTCGTGTCCTGAGGCTAAGGGACAGTGACCCAGCCTGGTGAGCAGCAGCTGAGACTCAGAAGCAACCACATGAAATTTGGCTGTGTACAATTTAAAACAGAGCCCAATTATCCTCCTTCTTTCCCATCACAAACTTTTCCTCCACGCACTCACCCAGCCATGTACAAGCCTGTTGCACAAGTCTCACCAGCTCACGTCGGGTTAGCTTTGTTCCCTTCAAGAGGGAGGGTGCCAATTGGGTGAGAAAGAACTCAATGCTTGGCTCTCTCTCATGTGGTTATGATTTTCATGTGCGCACACTTCAGCCACATGGGATAGTGGCTTTCAAATGACGGGCTGTAAACAGCACGTAGCCTCCATTAAATGAGAACAACAGAGAGCGAAAGAGAATGCTTTTCCGTGTCTCCTGCATGCTCCCTACGTCTGTACATGTGTCTGAGTACTTTCAGGATCTGAGCACAACATACCCTCCAACTGCCCCAATTTTCCCAAGACGGTCCTGTAAATTCCCCAAGCCATCACGGCTTCTGACTTGATCCCAGAATGTCCCGATTTCCCCCACCAGTGGATGGAGGCTATGGAAGCAGCTCCTGGGGTGGCAGCAGTATTGGGAAGGAGGCGAAGGCAGAAGCGTTAGCTTCATAATCCGCAATGATACATTGGGCAATAGATATCGGTCATAAATATAGTCATGGAAGCATGGGGACTATTGTAGAATATGGATATAAAAATTTTAGCATGTTATGGTCTAAGAGAAAATTATATGAAAATGATATGTTGATGGTATCTAGCACTGAGTAAATTGGCAAAAAATGTATAAATCTAAATCAAATAAGTGTTGGAGGTGAGGGTCACATGCCTTGCCAAGCCCAGATGCTGCAATGAACATAAAAGTGTGGCCCATGTTTCTCTTTCTTTCATGGAACCCTGATAGTTGGAAATTTGGCAGGTGAAGCTTTTTTCTGGCATAGCAATAAATCATGAGAAGTGTTAATTAAACAGGTAGGTAGTCTAATGGCAGGCTGCTGTTGAATTCCGAATGAAAAACCTACGGCTCTCTAATGTTAGTAGACTACAAACTTACATCATCCGATCACGCCTGACCATTTGCCATGCAGACTGCGGTTGAGCCACACATCTCACAATTTGGTTAACAGTCCCACAACCTTGTGTTACAGGGACAGAAACTGGAAAAGTGGGTGTCAGTGCTTACCAAGGCTAGTTTCTCTCATGTCTCTGGTTCAGTCAACAGAGCAGTTATAGCAAGTATTTGTTCTGTTATCTTAAGCCTTAGGACCTGCCAGGAAGTCCCCCTCATGCCTAAGTATTTATTCTGTAGCTATGACAAGGTCAGCTCTCAGCTTTAGGGCCTCTGACGCCAAGCAGCCCTGAAACAGGGGCCTTTGGATAGAGATGGTTTTAGACCAACAGGAATTTACAACAGCTCCTTCTCAGACTTTGCAGCTGGGAAAGGCCAGCTCTCACCCTGATTTATGGCCAGATTACCAATTCTTTCATTTGATTGGATTGCTTCTATTGTTTAGGTGGGAAAAGGAAACACAGAAGACAGAACAGCCTTCACTAGAGCAGGGTTTCCCAAACAGTCTCCGGCTGTTGTTAGACTACAACTCCCATCATCCCTAGCTAGCAGGACCAGTGGCCAGGGATGATGGGAAATGTAGTCCAAAAAAACAGCTGGGGACCCAAATTTGGGAAAACCTGCTCTAGTGAAGGGCAGGCGGATCTGTAGCTCTTCAAATGTTGCTGGATGCCATCAGCCCCAGCCAGCATGTCCAATGGTCAGGCATGATGGGAGTTATAGTCCAACGACAGCTGGTTAGAAAGAGGGGCAGCTACAGGTCCTACAGAACAAGACTAGGAACCAATGGGTGGAAATGGTAAGATTATGGCTAAACATTGAAATAAATGTCCTAAAGATAATTATTATGGATTATGATTATGATTACCGTATTTATACCCTGCCCATCTGGCTGGGTTTCCCCAGCCACTCTGGGCGGCTTCCAACTGAATATTAAAAACAATACAGCATTAGACATTAAAAAGAGAGAGCTGTTCATTAGTGGATCGGAATGTCTTGGGAAGGTGCGCAGACTCTCTTTCTTTGAAAGCATTTAAGTCATGCATGTCCAAAGTCTGTTTTGGGGGCCTAATCCAGCCTGCTGGTCAGTTTAATCTAGCCCCTGTGGCAGTTTATTCCTAACTTTGGGGTAAAATCATAAAAAAAACACTCAACAACTTCAATCCTAAAAAAGGATAATTTTGGTCGGCCCTCACGGCCCTTCACTTCATCAAATCTGGCCCTCTTTGAAAAAAGTTTGGACACCACAGGTTTAAGCAGAGGCTGGGCAAACACCTGCAGTTCAGCCTTCCCTGACCAGGTCTTTTACAATTTTGGGGGACTTTTACAATTTTAAGCAAATATCTAGGGCTTTGGGGGGGGGTTGTCCAGATTTTTGCCTCTAGAAATATGGCAACCCTACCAATATACCTCATCAGGATAGACTCTGCTTATATTCTCAGGCTGCCGATTGTATGAAACATATTTTATTACACTGTAGGCTATATAAACAAGCCAGGAACCAATTAATTAAGCCCTTATTGGTGAATTTACCTGGAAACGCTGATATCATCTGTCAGGTATCTCCTTGGAGATAAGATAAATGATATAACCGTGGCAAAAATATTCTCTCGGAGGTGATAAGAATTAGAAATCAGCATGTTCTCGATAAAACAGTGATTGTCTCGAAATGCCTTTCCTGTATTTGTGCCAGAGTTTGCTTTCAGAATTGTTTTCTGCGGGTCTTTGGACTGTAATGAAGATTGTGTGTGTTCCAGAGCAGATTTGGGGAGGGGGGGCCTTGTGGGGAAGAAGAGAAGTGGGGGGAATCCTGTTGTGCTAGCTTCTGCTAGCCCAGCAAGCTGCTTGAATATAGCCCTAAGATTCTATGATGCTATTTCCAACGGGCTCGTTAAAAAATGCATGCGGCTCCATCGCAAAGCACCCAGTCTCCAGCTCTTGCTTTGCAGCGCTCCTGGGCCTGCCTGAAGGAGAACGGGAAGGTCACCGAGTCTCCACCAGCCACACCGAAGCGCTCAATAATTAATGGTGTCTCTGTTTGCTTCGGCTGCCATTTCCTGAGTGGCTGAAAAATTGCTGCTGATAGGAAAGGCTATCTGACCAGGAGATGTGCCGCCTGACCTTGGCACGACCTCTAGCCCACCATTGAGTTGCTGAAGCACTCCGGGAAGTTTGTTCCGCCTTTCCAGAAGAACGCTAAAGCTTCATCAGAGGCACTGGTCATTTTACAGCTCCTCCTCTAGGTTGCAGAAAGCAATTAACCCATCATCTGGGAATATCCACAAGGAGTCTTGGGGCACCGCACCCAGGCTCCTTTGATTTTGCAGCAACAGCCTAGCACGGCTACCTCCTCATATTTTCTGGCATAGGAACCAGTTCCAGGGGGCTGAGGTCCCTTTGTGTGCCCCTCCCAAAAGTTGAATATTCAAATTTTGTGTAAGTGCTGCATCTTGTGATGATGTGGGGTGGGGTTGACCTGGCCCCCCAATATTTTATTCAAGTTGGCACCCGTTTTCAGGAGTGCCTAAGAAACCAGCTTTGCAGCACTTGTTCCCTGAGACTCCCCAGGCATTCTTTGCTAGTTTTGGAAACCGGTGTTTTGAAAACCCCTTTCATTTCCATAAATGTACATCCCTCATGATTTTTAGATTAAATGTTTCAGCTAGCATTCCAGGGCATCTGAAAACCATGTTGTTGCTAGCGCTGAGGACATGCAGTTTCTATTTTGAGTGTTTTGGGTTGTGATGGGGTGGTTTATGGATTTTTGTTGCTGTGCATTTATTTAGCCACCGTGACTATTTGAAAAGGTACATTAAAAAAACCCACACACACAAATAAATACAAATGCGGGGAAAGCGACAACAACAAAAATGTTCAGATGTTTATTACTGTAATAAACATGCCCTAAGGTAGGGTGGCCCTGAGGTAAAAATCCGGACCAAATATATATATATGCTGAGCTTCGGCCTTTTGGAAGATCAATTGCTCAACCACCGGCCATCTGCTGCCACCGACGTCCACACCAGAACCCAAAACAGAGCCAGAATCGCCCAGGCACATATTTTTTTCTAAACCCCACCCCCGCAAACCCTGGATATTTGCTTAAATTGTAAAAAATACCCCTGGATAGGCATGTAGCCCCCCAAAAGAGGACATGTCTGGGATGTATGGCAACCCTACCCTAAGGGGGAAGGGGACACAACTGAGGGTAAAATTGCATATTATGCCAAATGCATAGGGCAGAGCTCACCTGCTTGCACAACAAGGCTTCCTCCCACCCCCATGAACCCCCCAAAAATTGGTTCAGAGGGATCAGAACCCCCCAGAACAGTGTGTGGGGTGTCATTCCATCTGGTACGCTTGCCCATATTGAATGTGTGCCATTGTGTGATGGAGAATGGCACGCTTAATGTACAACTACACGTCTTGGTGATTCTTTTCTTCATTTCAAAGGTGCTGGGGTGACAGGTTCTCATAAGGCCTAATCCTTCCTTCCTCAACTGCAATCCCAATGAGAATCTCACACACAAGGCTTGGGGGGGAGTGCTCATTGGCAGGGGGTGTGCTTCTCATCAGGATCGTGGCCTATAATTAAACAAGGAAAGATGGGAGCTGCGTGGCACACAGCTGGCCAATTTGCACTTTGGACTCTTCCTTTTGTGAAGTTTCTAGGCTGAGGTTCAGAATTTCCAGGTCTGTACCTGAGCATTTTCCCACGCCTTTGTCCTGGTACCTTCCCCAGGGAAACCCATGTTTTACCGCCGAATTGGAGCAAACGGCAGCTGGGTTTTCCATGGGTTGATCCGATAAAGCACTGGTTTTCCTGGTTTTCCATTCTCAGTAAGGCACCAGGGCCTAAAAACAATACCACCCCACCTTGGGCACGGCAAGGAAAGCCCAGATCTGTGCCTAGAAAATGCAGAACAAATGTAGGTGTAGATGAGCCCTTAAAGGAGTATAGCAGACCTTGAGGAAGTTGAGTGGGATTGGCTTCCCTTGATCACCTGACTCTCAAGGTCAGGAAGGCCCTGTTTGTTGCTGGTTCTCCAAAAGGCCTGCCCATATTATTTGGCCTCCCCATCCCGTTCCTCTCCAAACTCACGAAAGAATATATGAGAAAACAAGAAGTCGGCCACAAAAATTAGGAAAAAAACCAAAACTGATTTAATTTGTCAGAGAACTCTGGGCTAAAAAAAGCCAGTCCTAAAAAGGACACACTTCTTCCCCCGACCCCCACTTAAATAACACTTGGATTAAAACAACAGTCGCACACGACCCTCCTCCTGAGTTCTTCCTGCCATTCACTCACAGCCAGATTTTAAAAAATCACACTGCATTATCTATATAGAGAACAACTCACCCAAATACACACATACAACAGCAAGGCGCAGAACATCATTCTCAGTAAGGCTGGCCAGAAATCATGACTCACTGTGAGGCTCTTCATGACTAGCCTTGGCTTCAGTGAGCATAAATTCATATTCTTGAGCACAAAGTGGTAGGGCGGCAGATTCTAAAAGCTGGATACGATCCCTCTCCTGCCATTGTAGAGAGTGCTTCAGATAAAAGTGAGGCCCATCTACAAAAGGCACTGAGTAGACCCACTCTCGGAAAGCAGAGGCCAGGTACAAAGGCATTGCCGGGAGTGCGTAGCTAGCACTTTCTGCATGTCCATTTCTTCAAGCCCTTCTCCCAACCAGGCCCACACAACAGCAGCATCCACCTCCCTGCCTGTATCTGAGAGAAAAACAGAACCTCTTTTCCTCTCTCCAAAGTGAGAACAAGGAAGAGGAGATAAAAGGTGGTGGAGCCTCAGGATGCTAAGACTACCAGGAAAACGGGTCAGGCCATAGCCCAACACAACTGGCACAGAGCAGTGCGCGGGCAGCATGTGAGTGGTGGCACCTTAAAAGACTAAGGCTGAGATCCTGGCACCACTTACCTGGGAGTAAGCCCCACTGAGCTCAGAGGGACTTGGTTTTTTGTTGTTGTTGTTTTTTTAATGTGGTGAGGTTTGTACTGTAACTGTTTTATCGCAGCACAAAGCTCTCATGGGTCAAAGCCCACTTTTGTCAAAGGCAAGATATACATACAGGGAGAAGGCAAGGGGATTATAGGGTTGTTATTAGCGGAGACAGATTGCCTAACAATGGAAGAGAAAAAGGGGGCGTCACTTTATAATGCGCATGGCATAAAAGCCAAGAGAATTTTAGGCAGGAGATTCAGAGTAGGTGCGGCCCATTCTCAGCAGATGAGGAGTGAAGTATGAATAAAACTAAAGAGAGGCCATTACTTTTCTGTGATGAGCTCTGCAGCCTAAGACTTCCAAAGCTTTATCCTCTGAAACTCCAGTGGAAATACAGCAACTTTGGGCATGGAAAACTCCCCATTCTCCTGAACTGCTAGACCCTCTGGCTTCACTTTATAATTCCATCTCCCCTCCTTCTCTCCTTTCTGTGGAGATGAACTTATGTATCTGTCATGTAACTGAGGTGACCACTTTGCGAATCTCACTCAGAGGTCCAAATGAGCTTGTGCTGGGGGGCAGAACTGGGAGGGGGACCCTTTTGACGTTGCATCTACTGACAGGGAACAGCAGATGTCATGAATCTCCCACAACTCTCTCTGTGTGGAAACTAGGAAGTACCCCATCTGTCTCCTTTAGCTTTCCCCATCAGTTGGCACCTCCTGTATGTTCAATGGGTGGCACCAAGAACTCACAAATACCCCCAAAACACAGTCGTCACAGACATCTGAGATGCTGCCTGCAAAATAAGGCAGAACTGCAACCCCCCTCATGCACCTTGTCACCCAGAGCTAAGCACCAAACATCAAAAAGTCCTTATGCGGCCTTCATTTTGTGTTGCCCTGAGGGGTGGAGAGGCAGCAGATCCGGAGCAATCAGGATTCTGGGACAGGCATAATATCTGTTGCACTTCAGGGTTAGTCCAAAGGCAGGAGGGCTACGAGAGAGCGGTTACCACAGTTCTTTCTACACTTGACAAAGTTTTTCTCCGCGGAAGGACTAGCATCTACACGGCCTCCGTTGAAGAGGAATCGAAACAGCAGCACCCTTCTCAGTTCTGAAGCACTCCCTTGTGGGATTTGGCAATGGGGTGAAAGGTAGGGGCAACTCAATCATCCACCAGGAGGCCAAGTTGTGGCCTAGACAAGATCATCTCAGTATTAGGAAAGGCGGATTTGTACAGCACAAAAACAGGTAGCATTGCAGAAGAATGTGAGACACTCACAGCAAAGTCAACGTGGTCCATGAATGGTGTGGCGTGTTAAAAAAAAGAAGGAGGAGGAAAGAGGGTCCCAAAATGCTGGCTAGTTGTACTGCAGAGGTGGCACTAAGAAGAACTTGATTGAAGGCTCCAAGGAACACAGAAGTCCTGCTGTCCAGAATTTTAAAAAACAAGCAAACCACAGGTGTATCCCAGTACGGCAACCCAGATTTTCTAAAGCAGAGGTCAAGCAGAGCACTTGGAGTTATGTGTAACAAGAAGAAACTGTATTGTCTCCACTGCCAGAATGAAATCTCAATGGCTAACTGAGGCCTAGCCTCATTAGATGCAACTTCGCAAAGGCAGGTTTTGCAAGGCATCCTCGAGGAACAGGACCTTCTGAAATCAAGACTTTGGCTTCTACCACCTGCTCTTGCTGTAAGGAGATGAAGCCTGAAACAAAAGACAAGATTGATACATTAGTTTTCTTACAGCAGGAATGGTCTTTTAAGTATAGCTAACTAAAGCCAACTGGGATGGGGTGGGGGCAGGAAACAAGCCCTTCTAAGTTTGGAACTGACCCTAGATTGGGTTGCACTCCTCTGAAGGATCAGCTTTGCAGTTCACACTCCACACTTACTGGAGTGTGGTTCAGATGTTGGGAGTTGGCAAGGGGTGCTTTTTAACAGCTTCAGTTGGTTCACCAGCCGCAATCCTATCTGGAGAGAATGGACCTTGCCTTGGTTACCACCTATTTATTAGCAACATCCAGGCTTGTAAAAGCTGCTTAGAAACTTCAAATGGTAGAAAATGCAGCCACCCACTGGTGTATATTTACAGTGTGTTTCTGGAACCAAATTAAAGTGTTGCAAATGACCTTTAAAGCCTTGGAATAATTTGGGACCAGGTTACTTAAAGGACCATCTGCATCCATTATCAACCTGTCCCTCCCTTTAAAATCCACTTCAAAGGCCCACCTACAAAGACAATTAGGTTGGCTGGCAAATGCCAACCATGACTTTCTCAGTGGTGGCCCTCCAATTATGGTGCTCAGTTCCACATCATATATTTACTAGTATTTTATGCTGTTTAAAACGTCTTTTTTAAAAACCGTGTTAGGAATTTGTGGGGGGGGGGGGTGTACATTTTTGAAAACTGCTTTGAGAAGCGTTTTGCTTGAAAAGTGGTGTATAATAACAAGTGCTATTTTCCTTTAAAAATGTTTAGGAGTACTCTCATTTTGACTCAAGAAAATCACCATCTGATAACATTATTCCTGCTTATAAAACCCAATTAAAAAAAACAGGGAAGAAAGCCCCCATTTTATAGTTCAAATCGGGGGAAATAAATACAATAAATGGATAAATGTAGAAAGATTCACAAAATGTTTAGCGGTATGCGTACCCCTGCGTACCCCCCAGAAAAAACCCCACTGTTAATAATAATAATTTAAAAATTAGCGATCAACCTAAATAAAATTTGCAGGATATTCCAAAATTCAAAGTGAGGACCAAATCACGGCTTGTATTTTCTCCAGGTTCTGCGGTTGCACAAGTCGTGCATTACTCTGCAAGGCACATAATACAGTGGTACCTTGGGTTACATACGCTTCAGGTAATAGACTCCACTAACCCAGAAATATTACCTCGGGTCAAGAACTTTACTTCAGGATGAGAACAGAAATCGTGCTCTGGTGGTGCGGCGGCAGCTGGAGGCCCCATTAGCTAAAGTGGTGCTTCAGGTTAAGAACAGTTTCAGGTTAAGAACGGACCTCCAGAACGAATTACCGTATTTTTTGCTCTATAAGACTCATTTTTTCCCTCCTAAAAAGTAAGGGGAGATGTGTGTGTGTCTTACGGAGCGAATGCAGGCTGCGCAGCTATCACAGAAGCCAGAACAGCAAGAGGGATTGCTGCTTTCACTGAGCAGCAATCCCTCTTGCTGTTCTGGCTTCTGAGATTCGAATATTTTTTTTCTTGTTTTCCTCCTCCAAAAACTAGGTGTGTCTTGTGGTCTGGTGCTGTCTTATAGAGCGAAAAATACGGTAAGTACTTAACCCGAGGTACCACTGTATGAACTAACAGCAACATACAGGTCAGCTGCAGTCACATGGGTGTATTATGAATTGCAGAGATTGTATCAAGGCAAGCCGGGCTAGAAGCAGTGTATAAATCAGTTCAGAGGGGCAGAAAGATAGGGATTCACTATATATCTGTAGTTGGGACTGGAACAGAATTCCAGTCGCAGCTGCATTAGCCAGTTACACACCTGCCCGCTCTTTCCATCCTTCTGTGCCACTGCCTGCTTATTCTGTGAAATGTAGGCATCCTCAGCACGCAGTGTAGAATTGGCACTGCCCATCACTTGGCTGTTGGCTGTGGCGCGAGGGAGGATGACATCATAGGGGCCCTCGGACTGGAAGCAAAACAACAACAGCAGCAACAAAAAGAGTAAGAAGTGAGCAGAAAGTGTGGTCAGAAAGGCAACCAGGAGCTGCAGTATGGTCAAATAAACACAGCCAATCAACATTCTGCACGCATCATCTATAGGCATACAGATTTGACCTTCAATGAAGAAGGCTTGAACTGTTCCATTTTCAAATCACTTTTCACCAGGCTGTATGAAACTTTTCCCGATTTCTGACATCATTTCCACATGTGAGAAACTGTTGGCACATGCAACAGATCTGAGGCTTTTTTAGATCAAAACAGAAGAAGAAAAAACTGTTTCGTTTTGACTTTCCAAGGGCATGACTCAGTCAGAGAGCATTTTCACTTGGGTCCCTGGAGCAGCATGGTGACATGCACACTTCAAGTTCATGCATACCTCGGATTCCTAAATTGCAATATACTAAAACTTGCAAAACAGTAGAAATACAGTAGCTGCTGCGGCGATACCAAAGATATTGAGTAAATGCCCAAATCCAGCTTCTGCAGCAGTGTTAGGTGAACTTCTGTGTGGAGATACAAATGGACGCTAGGGAAGGTGCAAACTCCTCTCTCATCATCTCTGACATCCCAAATTCACTGAGTATATTTTGACTGTGTTCAAACAATCATGCCTCATTTTAATATGCTGAGGTGTGGGTGAGCCTCTCTTGGCCATGCCCTGCAGCCCCTTTTCATTCCTCTCTTTGCGTGAGCTGGCAAACAAATCATGGGACCTTCCAATTAACTATCGTTTCCAGTTTTGTCTGAAGCAGGAAACAATGATTAACAACTCTGGAATAAGCCAGGATATTAAAACCAACTTTAAACCATGGCTTTGTGTCTGGCTTGTTTGAAGCTTTTCACGCTAACCATCGTTTCCCTCAGTTTGGATGAAACAGGAAACTATAGTTATTAGAAGACTTCCTGGTTCCTTTCCCAGCTCCCGCAAAGGGTAGCACCAAGGGCTGTGTCTGCAAGCTCAGATATAATAATCTGAACGCTTTCTTTGACCAAGTCAGATGACAAAATAGTCACATGAACTGTCTTCCCTAACCTCAATCCTTTCCCCTGCCACACATATAATCTCTGCAGGACAATACAGGTCAAATAAACTCCTTTGGTTTTGGTTTTATTAAAAAAAACATGTTCCTGTCAAGCCTACTTCTCCCAGGAAGCAAATGAGGTGGTAAATCTGATTCTGATTGTACCTTCTCAGACTCCAAATGAGGACTCGCATAACTGAACACTTATCCATGAAATAAAATGTTCTGAAAACATTTTTTTTCCAAACTAGGTGTTGAGTCAAAGGGTCCTAGGCTTGCCATCTGAATAAGGCGCAGATGAGAAGCAGTTTCCCCCCATTATCCTGCAGAATCAGGCTGAACTCAAAGACCTGTGAGTGTTAAGTTTACATCCAAAGAATGCAAACACACAGAGTGACGCTGTTTATCCTGCCCCCTTATCTAGAGATAACTACACAGAATATCTGGATTTGACATTTATGAGAGGTTTCACCTCTCTCTGTCAGGAGCCAACTTCTCCTGCTGAACTGCTCAAGAGGATGTTGTGTTTTCTATTTTATTTTTTTTAAAAAGCCCAACATTCTGGAAGCTAAGCTACAGTCGAGAAAGATAAGAAACACCAGCAGAGCTTCACACTCACTTACAGGCCCCTTGTGCATGAGAGCCATCTCTGTGGGCTGGTACACACTCGTCAGCAGCTGCCCGTTGTATCCGCTGTATGGAGACACAGGTTTTTTGGCTGAAAAGAAAGAGAAATCACAAGAAAATAACATTAAAAGGCACACAGGCTTGGGAGATCTTCAGTGACAAAGATGGTTTTCAGACAGCGCAGGCTGAGCAGAAGCAGAAGATTTTTTACTCAAATAACCCATGTAAGAGGCAGAATAGTGGTTCGGCCCAGGTAGCTCGGTTGATTAGAGCATGGTGCTGATAATGTCAAGATTGTAAATTCAATCCCCATATGGGACAGTTGCATCATCCTGCAGTACAGGGGGTTGGACTAGCTAATCCGAGGGCCTTCTGGTGGTTCCCTCACTGTGAGAAATGAGGTTACAGGTAACAAGGCAGAGGGCCTTCTCGGTAATGGGGCCCGCCCTGTGGAACGCCCTCCCACCAGATGTCAAGGAAATAAACAACTATCTGACTTTTAGAAGACATCTGAAGGCAGTCCTGTTTAGGGAAGTTTTTAATGTTTGATGTTTTATTGTGTTTTTAGTATTATGTTGGGAGCCGCCCAGAGCGGCTGGGGAAGCCCAGCCAGATGGGCGGGGTAGAAATAAAAATTATTATTATTATTATTATTATTATTATTATTATTATTATTATCATCATCCTCATCCTCAGGGTCCCTTCCAACTCTACAGCTCTATGATCCTATGATGCATGCTTCTGTTTGTGCCACTTTTTCTAGGCACGTCCATGACTTCCAGACACAGGTGCTAGCAGATCTTTTTTCTTTTTCGTTTTGGTCCCACCACTTTCTCCAGCAAAATCCACTGTTTGCTGCTGAATCAGAATTAATGTCAATCAGGTTTTCCATGGATTGCTGTTTGTTCCGATTCAGCGGTAAACAGTGGGCTTCCCTGGGGAAAGAAAAAAAATCGTGCTCAGACCTGTGCCTGGAAGTCACAGAGACCTGTGCTTAGAAACTGCGGCACGAACGGAAGCATGGAAAAGCCCATACTCCACAATCTAGTGTTGAGCAAAGAACACTGAGATCATAGTGGTCCCACCCCCAACACGCAGGACAGAAACATGACTCATGTCAACGTAAGTTCAGTGTTGTGGGCACAACTCTATTGAACTCCCTCTCACTAGAAGTTTGAGAGGCACCGCCCATACTGTGTTTCAGACACCTAGAGACCTTTGCATCATGAATACTTATCTGACATTTTAAATTTTCTGATGTTGTTTTTAAATAGATTTTAAATTTCTGAGATTTTTAATTTTTTTAGATTTAATTTACATTTTAAACTTTGGTGCTTTTGAGACCTGGATGGTGAAAAGCAGGTTGTGTTTAAAAATAAATAAATACATACATACATAATAAAGGTAAAGGACTCCTGACAGTTAAGTCCAGTCGCAGACAACTCTGGGGTTGCGGCGCTCATCTCGCTTTACAGGCCAAGGGAGCCAGCGTTTGTCCGCAGACAGTTTTTCAAGGTCATGTGGCCAGCATGACTAAACTGCTTCTGGCGCAACACCAAAACCAGAGCAGCACACGGAAATGCCATTTTTCACCTTCCCGCCGGAGCGGTACCTATTTATCTACTTGCACTTTGACGTGCTTTCGAACTGCTAGGTTGGCAGGAGCTGGGACCAAGCAACGGAAGCTCACCCCGTCACGGGGATTCGAACCACCAACCTTCCGATCAGCTAGCCCAATAGGCTCAGTGGTTTAGACCACAGCACCACCCGCGTCCCTCAAATACATAGAATACCCTACATGGTAACCTCCAGATGTTGTTAGACTCCAAATCCCATCAGCCCCAGCCAACAACATCTGAACACCACCATGTTGTCTACCCATGATATAGGGTCAGAGAAGGTGTACGATTGGCTTACAAGAGGCATACATGATGGTAAACTGCTCGCAAGCAGAAGAACCACGCCTAAAAGCCAAAATAAAGCATGCCAATTTTAACACACTATCCAATGATGCATTCACAAAGTTGCATCAAAAAGATAAGATCTTTTTTCTCAATTCAACACTGCATTAACTTACACAGTTACAAGAGCAGATCCCGGTTAAAAAGGGTGGCAGCCCTAAATGACTGCATGGGCAACAATCACATTTGTACTCATTTTGACAGAATCACTATATATGTATATTGTTGTAAACAAAAATCTGCCTTTTTCCCTTATGGGGTATCCAAGAAGCTACATAAGGACTCTGTATGGGCTCTTAGATACCCCATAAGGGAAAAGGGCAGATTTTTGTTTACAACAATATGTATATATATGTATATACATACATACACAGAGAGAGAGTCAGACGTACAAATTAGCCCTGAGAGAGCAAAACTATTAGAGTTCGTCTCCGTAATATACAATGCTTCATTTCATATGCCACTATGCGTTTGCAAAAGCCTTCACCGCTTTGCAAAGAAGTGATTGCTATAATTCTTCCATGCTGTTGGAAACAAAGCAGGAAGCACGAACTAATCAATGTTCCCAAGTGCAACAACCATCAGAAGCCTGCTGGGGCATTCTGTGACTTAAGCCAGCCATAAAACAAAGCCTTGTTTGTGGGTAACTATAGACAGAGTAGGTTTTAATGAGCACACTGTGCTCAGGAGACCTTTCCTAAATAAGAGAGTCCTCTCTAGGGTTTAAGAAGCAAAGCGTGCTGTAATAAAATCCTGTCAGCCATGTAGTCATATGTGTGTATATTTTAGCCTATTGGTTTTTCCAACAAAGAATTGTGGAGCGGTTGAGATTTTTGACTGTGTGTGAAATGGCAACATACATGGGACTTCCACAGCCAATTCAGGTTCTTTGTCCCTATCATAACCTAGTTATGTTGTTGTTGTTGTTGTTGTTGTTGTTGTTGTTGTTGTTGTTGTTGTTGTTGTTGTTGTTTAGATTTACATACCGCCCTTAGCTTTGCTGTCTCCTTCTATAGAAGAGCAACAAAATGAAAGGTCTTAACTTTGGCTTTCTTCAGCAGTGTAGTACATATATTTCCACAAAGACTGAAAGATTAATTTTTTTTAAAAAATGAAAGGGGGGGGGACAATTTTGGAGTTGCTTCAGTGTCTGAAATATGGAGAATCAAGTTCTACAGGGAATCCAAAACTAGACACAGAAAAAGCAGATTACTTTTCTTTTCAATGCAGAAATATTCAGAAGTTCTAAACGAAGAGGAATACATAGCAAAATTGATCCTTGAAGAGATAATCTAAGGAAATTCAAAGACATGGTGAATAAGTGTAAAACAGCAGGAAGCAGAGGCATTTCGGAGTGAGTCACAGAACAATGCTGTGAGTTCTTCACTTCATATCATGCAGATGAGGATAGTTTTGCATGGTTTGGGGCTTTTCTTGGTGGTGCTTCTTATAAAGCCTGGAGAGAGAATGACAACAGCTTGTTCCAAATTGTGCTTTTCGGTGGCACATACAGGTTTTTCCCTCTGCTTGAAACTGGGGGAGGCTAAACTGGCAACAGATTTCAAGAAGACACTTTCTGTGGGATTAAGGTCTTAGGTGGGAGGTTGGCAGCCAAGAACAGAGGTTAGAGAGAATATATTTAAGTGACATTTTCAGCACAGGGAGCAATGCAGGAAATGGTTCCTTCGCACCTGGGCAAAGCAGCTTCTCATTTATATGTGGCACATATACCCCACACTTCATTTAGGAAGCTCAGAATGGCTCACTTGGGGATCCGTGATGAGCTGCAACAGCATCATGTGCTCATGAATCATTTTCTCAGCCCGCTGGCAAAGAATCAGTGCCACAGTAGTAGATTCTTTAAAATAGGGCACACACTAGTAACTGGAGAGGGAGAAGTCAAGGTAATCCAATCATCAAAACAATTTATTTACAGAAATACTCATCTGGGTCCATCATCTCACGCAGATGGAATTGTGGCCTTTTGAGCAACTACTAGGGCAAAAGGAATCCAGCAATTTATTTTACAAGACGTGATTCCTCTCATTTAAGTTTCTAAACTCCTGCAACTAAAATTTTGGGGAAAGAGACACAAATCTTGTATTTGCAGATGTAAGATTATGCATACTGGCAGCTTTGGAAAAATCAGAAGGAGCGGGATTTAGGATCCTCTTCCTAAATTTCAAATTATCATCACCTGAACTTGGCCCATGATGAAAGTAAAGCCAATGCCATCCTGGGCTCCTTTGAAAGAAAGTCGGGATAGAAATTTAATAAATAAATTTCACACCGTCATGTTCTAAGCCAAGCAATATATTTATAGCCCAATCCTATGATGCTCTCAGTTTGAAGTTAAGTGTGAAACAGCTTAGAGGTTTTATGTACAATCAAGAGGTATACAAATTTTCTTAAATAAATAAAAAGTCTCATATAAAAGTTTGTAAATTTTCAGCCGCACATCTTCTCTGCAAGGTGGGTTTCCGAGTCTCAAAATCCAAAACAATTTAGCAAAGCTAAATACTTTGCAAAGTATCCAAGATCTGAGCTGTGATTTGACCTAGCCGCTCTCGATTCTGTGTGGTTTATTAAACGAAAATGAAAGTGACCGGAACAAAGGAAAAGTCAGGAAATTGAATTACTACATCAGAGGATAGGAGAGGGAAGCGAGAGCGGAGATCAGCCATAAGGCCATGTCTCTTTAACCGGAGGCACAGAAAAGATGTCAGGTCTGTCCATGCCAGTGCTAGCCAATGTGTTGGGTTGTTTTGCCACAAGTGTGCCACAAGTCAAGTCTGTTCGACTTCCAGAATGTTGGAAAACCAAATGGCGCCTTCTGATTGGCTGCAGGAAGCTCCTGCAGCCAATCAGAAGCTGTGGAAATCCTGCCGGACGTTCGGCTTCCAAAAACGGTTCACAAACCGGAACAGTCACTTCCAGGTTCGCGACGTTTGGGAGCTAAAATGTTCGGGAACTAAGCTGTTCGAAAACCAAAGTACGACTGTATTTTAAAACAAGCCTTGTGGTGTTCATGCCTATAGAAAAGCATGATGGAAGTTTCTGCAAACCAACCCCATGCCCATTGCCAACTGCCTCTCCACAACCTGTATGTTGAGGCCTACCTGAAGAAGGTTCATCCATTGAGAAGGCCTTGTTCTCCACAAACATGCTCTGGGATTTCTGTTCCTTGAGGATGGTTTCATATCCCACTCCCCGGGTGGGGTAGACATCTTCCTCATAGATTTGCTCCGGTCCTGGCCGGATGACTTGGGAGATCTCTGGGATGACATAGAAGAAAATAAAGACGCAGGCGTTGGAGACGAGAGCAATGGCCAACGTGGGGTCGTCCCAGGCCTGGCCTCCTTCCTGCTGGTTGCCGTAAATGTACATCACTATCCACACAACCCAGATGGCCATAGAGAGGGAGGTGGTGAGGAGAACAAAGACGGCGTGCTTCCTCCAGTGCTTGTAACGTCCACACAAGACAGGCCATGAGGCAACGAAGGCAAGCACTTGCAGGAACATGACGTAGATCAACGCCATGACAAAGTCTTCATTCTTCACCCGGCAGGGGTCCTTGGGCAAATCGTCGCCCCTCACCACAGTAATGATCAGCCACTCAGCGTTGATAATGACCTCCACCAAGACGAGGAGCAGGGCCATGCCAAAGGTGACCCAACCCCGGGGCCCGTGGTTCCGCCGGGCGAGGAAATTGAGGCTGAGGGAATGCGCCACCAGGCAAGAGAAGCACACGGCGAAGAGGACGCCGAAGAGGAAGCGTCGCGAGGCGCACGTGGAAAAATCTTGCTTCACGATGAAGGCAAAAGTCAAGCAGAAGAGCCCAAAGGTGCCAAACAACAGGAAGGCTTGCGTCCCTATCAAGCTCTTCTTCCGATAGTCCTGGACAAACGGAACGCTGGCCACAAGGACAACGGTGAGGACAAAGGTGGTTACGACACCAAAGGCGGCTACCGCCTCCAGCACGACCCCCCAAGCTGACGACAGGTCGCACAGGTTGTAATAGATGGACTGCAAGTCCTTGCCGCAGCCTGCCGGCGGCGATGGAGTCACTTCCGCCAAGCATACTTTGGTGGGAAGTCCCAGGAGCCAAAGGTATGGCAGCAGCGCCTTGGGTACACCCATCGTTTTGGAGCGATGGCACATATTCCTTGGCACTTTGGGAAAGAACTGAAAAACAGGAGGGAAAAGACAAGGTTAGCGTATCCGAAAGAAAGCGTATTGTTATCAGAACTGGGCAATTTTGTAGTATCGATGGTGATGCTTGGTTATATAACAGAACCGGTGAAGGTCTATACCAGCGTTTCCCAACACTCCAGGTGCTTTTGGACTACAACTCCCATCACCCCTAACAAGTAGGACCAGTGGGCCAGGGATGATGGGAATTGTAGTCCATTAGCAGCTAGCGACCCAAGTTTGGGAAACCCTGGTCTATACCCTGCCCGGCCCCCTGTACCAGCACTGCTGGGCTTTGTCGAGGTTTAGGAGACCAGCTACTGTACAGTGGTACCTTGGGTTAAGAACGTAATTCGTTCCAGAGGTCCTGCCTGTACCCCATCCCCGTTGGCTTTAGTTAGCTATACAGTGGTACCTCGGGTTAAGAACTTAATTCGTTTTGGAGGTCTATTCTTAACCTGAGACTGTTCTTAACCTGAGGTACCACTTTAGCTAATGGGGCCTCTCACTGCCACCGTGCCGCCACTGCACAATTTCTGTTCTCATCCTGAAGCAAAGTTCCTAACCTGAGGTACTACTTCCGGGTTAGCAGAGTCTGTAACCTGAAGCGTCTGTAACCTGAGGTAATGCGTTAACCAACAATTAGTCCAGAGAGCAGGGTGACACTGGTGGTGACAGAGGCATTTAAAAATTGAAAAGGCAAGGGCCATGATTCAGTTGGTACAGCATATATTGTACCTGGAAAGATGTAATGAATTTAAGAAGAGCATTGCTGGATCTGGCCAAAAATTCCATCTAGTCCAGGCATCCCCAAACTCGGCCCTCCAGATGTTTTGGGACTACAACTCCCATGATCCTAGCTAGCAGGACCAGTGGTCAGGGATGATGCGAATTGTAGCCCCAAAACAGCTGGAGGGCCGTGTTTGGGGATGCCTGGACTAGTCCTTTGGCCAACCAGATACCTATACAAATCCCGCAAGCAAGACCTGAGTGTGATTCCCAACAAATAATGTTTATATATAGCAGGTTATATATATATATATATATATATATATATATATATATATATATATACAAGCAAAGTCTTCCCCTCACACTGCCTAAAAACTTTTTGCCTTTAATTTGAAGTATATTTTGACCTCTTTCAGAGGGACAGGATTTGTATCCCTGCCTATTTGTTTTGGTCTTTGATTTCTTGGTCTTTGATTTGAATTGTTGTTGTTTTGCTTGTATTGTTTTTAATTGGTTTTAATATTAAGTCGCTTGTCAGAAAAACACATCTTGCAGAAGTGTGTTCTATTAAATCTGCACCATGTCTGCCTTCAATCTCCAAACGTACAGCTTCCTCCGATGGCCCCAAGTTCTAGTATGGGAGAGCAAAACTTACTCCATTCACTTCCTCCACAGTGAGGCAGGCCTGTGCCTCAGGGCCAAACAACACATTATGCAAGAGTTTTGAGATTAGATCTTCTGCCATTTTAATCGCAGCCAGGGGGGGACTCCAAATGGGAGCAGTGGAGCATGGATTGGGGGGGGGGGCAGGCAGTGAGTGTTTAAACCCTTCCCTCTGCCAATGTTCTCTTCCAGATCTGATCATTTCTCCTCAAGTTGCTGCTATAGCCCGGTTGGCGGGGGAGGAAATGTTTGAGCCTCCCCACTCCTGAAGGGCTAATACAGTAGCTTTTGTTCTGGATAGGGAGTGAGCCGTGTCGGAAACTCAGATATACAGTGGTACCTCGGGTTAAGTACTTAATTCGTTCCGGAGGTCGAAACTGTTCTTAACCTGAAGCACCACTTTAGCTAATGGGGCCTCCCACTACTGCCGCATGATTTCTGTTCTCATTCTGAAGCAAAGTTCTTAACCCGAGGTACTATTTCTGGGTTAGCGGAGTCTGTAACCTGAAGCGTATGTAACCTGAGGTACCACTGTATAAGCTAGGTGCCAAATGGCTCCTTAAACCAAGATTACAGTCCCCAAAACAAAATGTCTATTTTGGGACAAGACAGCTCCAAAGTCTTATTTTTCAGGTGGTGGGCTGACTGTGATTGATTCTCTGTTAAACACCTGGTTAGTTCAGATGACAACCTTGAGCTAGGGTAAGAACTTTGAGAACTTAAAGAAGAAAAGTCACTTGATCCAGGGACAGGCCACATATAAGGAATCCCGTGGATACAGAGTACAGTGGTACCTCAGGTTAAGTACTTAATTCGTTCCGGAGGTCCGTTCTTAACCTGAAACTGTTTTTAACCTGAAGCACCACTTTAGCTAATGGGGGCTCCTGCTGCCGCCACGCTGCCGGAGCCCGATTTCTGTTCTTATCCTGAAGCAAAGTTCTTAACCTGAAGCACTATTTCTGGGTTAGCGGAGTGTGTAACCTGAAGCGTATGTAACCCGAGGTACCACTGTAAACATGTCCCACAGTGCCTCTTCTAAATGACTGGCCCTGTATATATTGGCCTATTCCTATGGGATGGAGCATGAGTGTGTGAAAACAGTCAAGATCCAAGAATCCCCAGATGGTGGAGATGCCAGGCATCATCCTGGCGCCCAGGCATCTTCACTTGGTCGCAAGTGGCCAATAGCCACGTGAAAAATGAGCCTGGCACCTGGATAATTTCAAGCACTGGGAGTGAGGAGCACCCCACATAATACATAGCTCGTCCTTGAGAGAGGGGGAGAGCCGCTGCCAATCTGGGTAAAGTATGGGGCTTAGATGGGCCACTGACCTGGCTTGGCATAACACAGCCCATTAGGTTCTTATACCAGCCAAAGGGTATATGGGCAGGTGACACCACAATTACATAGATTCGGAGCAACGCTGAAGAGTATTTAAAATGATGGACCAAGGCGAGAAGAGAAAGAATAAATGGGTTGAGAGGAAGAAACCATAGACTCCCAGAGTGATCAGCAGCAATCCATTAAACCCTACCCTCTTGAGACTTCTTCCTCACTCCAAGGTTAGAGGCAAAAATACGCTAACTCACCGCACCACCAAACCACCAGCAGCCAGCCTTCTCAGGCTTCACCTAGCTGCCTTTAGCATCTTGTTGGGATGATTTAAGTCAGGCATCCTGCCCCACCCTCTATGTGCCTCACCCTGACCTCCCTGGAAGCAGGCCAACAGTTAAATTAGCAATTCCGTTCCCAACGTCTATTACATGGGTAGGCAAACTAAGGCCCAGGGGCCAGATCCGGCCCAATTGGCTTCTCAATCTGGCCTGCAGACAGTCCGGGAATCAGCATGTTTTTACATGAGTAGAACGTGTCCTTTTATTTAAAATGCATCTCTGGGTTATTTGTGGGGCATAGGAATTCGTTCATTTTTTTTTTCTTCCCAAAATATAGTCTGGCCCCCCACAAGGTCTGAGGAACAGTGGACTTTCCCCCTGCTGAAAAAATTTGCTGACTCCTGGGACTCAATTACCTTGATTTCTTTTGCAGCAGCAACAAAAAAAAAGACCTCAAAGTGTTCACAAAATTAATATAAAATAAAGCTTTGCCTAAGCAAGGGAGGCATCCGGCTCCCTGTCCCTCTCCTCCAGATTGGCAAATTGCTGAAGGCTGGAGAGGAGAGAGGCCAGAGAGAAGCTAGGTCAGGCAGGCCAACGAAAAACGCCTGAATCCCCCCTTTTTTGTGGCTGGGTTTTGAGGGATTAGAGTTCAAGGAAACAGAGGTGACTTTTAGATCATTATTCTTTTTTTAGAAATCACTAGGGCAGGGGAAGAAGAACACATCCTCACGTAGGATGTCATTTCTAAATACAGCTGTAACTGCAGCATAAAAGGGGGAAAAACAAAACAAAATAATTAGCTGCCCCACTGCAAAGCATATTCCCAGACCAGCCATGTTCCCCCTGAGAAAGAATCGGCCAGCAAAGTGTTGGCCTCCCCTTGGCTGCCACTCAACACTTCTTGGTTCCCAGGCTTAGAGGATTGCAGATGACTTCCGAAAGAAGAGAACTCTCTCACATGCCTTCCAAATCCGCTTGTTGTGGGGCTTGGATCATGGGCTAGTCCCAGCTTCTGGGGATTGGGGCTTTATGCTACAGCATGTGAGAGCTAGCGCTGCTCCAGCTTTCTCTCTCCTATTCAGACAGCCGCTTCTTGTACTAGCTGAGAATGCTGGCGCCCATTCAGTTTAGGTTACCTTTAGGAGTACAGGCACGAGGCTAGTTCAGCTCCAAAACCTAACAGTCCATACATTAGCGTGAATGCTGCACGTTCTCTGCTATGCAAAAGCCCGTTTTCCAGTCTCAAGGTAAAGTGCTGAGAAGCAGGAAGGTCCCTTATCCTTTCAGTTTCTTTTCTGAACTATAACCATCATAAAGTTTGAGACCGAATGATGCAAGGTTAAAAGGAACTAAATTCATCAGACAGCTTTTAGCTGGGACTGTTCAAGGACCTGTTTCGTTGGCTTAGGTAAGAATAAGGCCTGTCTTGTCATAGTTTCAGCACCAAGCAAAGATGTTTTTTTTCTCTTCTCCAGGGCATTTGGGCAGCTCCAGAAACTAGTTGCTTGTATTCCGATTATGCTTTTAATAGGCTTGTTTTTATTTTTATACTGGTTGTAAACTGCTTTGGGACTTTTCGCAGCGGGCAGCAATATATAAAACTAATCATCATAGTAAACAACCTGGTCAGCCCTAAGAACCAACTTGCACTCTATAGATCATCACCTATGTGGCTTTAATTGGCTCCATGTAATGTATTAACCTGGAGGTCTAGATGAAATCCTGAGAAAGTAAGACCATTTAATTTTTGAAGACTGCAGTTCTATCGGTGGTTCAGAAAACATACAGCTCAAAAATCAGCAAGAGGCAGGAATGATCGGAACAATGATGGAGCAACAGGATATCATCCATGTAATGCCCATGCTCAACTGATGCTCAGAAATAGCTGTGCCCTCCATGTTGTAGACTCCAAATCCCATCATCCCCCAATCAGTAGGGCCAATGGTCAGGGATAATGGGAGTTGTAGTTCACAAAATCTAGAAGACACCATGAAACAGCCACACATCTTTCCATCATTACATCTCCATGCCAAGGGACGGCAAACCCTTGGGTGCAACCATCTTTTTCTGGCAGTGTTCCTAGTAAAATGGAAACTGTTAGGACAACTCTTATCTGAGCTGAACACCTAGGGGTTTGGGGCATGAATGTTCTTGTTTCAGATGAGACCACTGATCTGGGAGGGCTTGCACACAGAATATTTTCTCAGCTCTGCAAGTCTGCAATTCTGTGAAAGCCAGAGCACTTATGTGATTTCCTCCCCAGCTTACATAAATCAGCATTGCATAATTCAGCATTTTCTAGTCGCCAAACTTGGATACTTTTTATGGTGTGGAATATTAGACTTCCTGCTTAAGAGATTATTTATCATCCCACTAGTGTTAAAAGAGTTTTGTCTGGTGGCTTATCTGTGGACAGAGAGAAATTCAAGCATTCCCTCTTGTCTGGAGCTGCAAGACTACCTTGAGCAGCTAACTCACTAGCAGAAGTTTGCTGGTGGTTCCGTTTGCCAGTCCACACCTCTCATTTCAGTACATCTACTCCAAAACTTCTTCCCTGCCCTAGCAGCTGGACAGGGCTTTGTTTTAGTTAATGTGGTTTCCATCTCAATAATCACAGTTAGACTGCTTAATGATTAAGCCACAAAACTTGCAATGCATTTGTGCGAACGCATTCGCTTTCTTTGCAAAGAATTTGCAAACTTTTGGGGGGTTGAAAGGAAAACAACAAACCCGCCCCATTACAGATCAGGTATCACATATATGTTATTTTCAAATGCACCATTCTATATAGCCCATTTCATTGTTTGTGTAGGAAAAACACACACTGCGTTTCAGAATTGTGGAGACTACGGATGATTGCTGTGTGGCTATGGGATCCACTGTTTCCTGCCTAGCGCATAACTGTGTAGATTGAACAATAGCTGCACTTCACTCTGGAAGCCACTGATTTGTGGTGAGGCTTTAATTCTACTCTGCCAATCATTTCGGGAGACAGGCAGGTTGATTGCATCTCACACCTCTAGAGGTGGGTTTTTTAAAACCACTCCTTTCAGCAGAGCCACAAAGTCCTCTATGGCTTACAGGCTATCCATGTGATAGTCAAGATGAATGATGAGGAGCATGAGAAACACTTACGTGTGGTGCTACCTCCAACGACTAAAGGTAAAGGTAAAGGGACCCCTGACCATTAGGTCCAGTTGTGGCCGACTCTGGGGTTGCGGCGCTCATCTTGCTTTATTGGCCGAGGGAGCCAGTGTACAGCTTCCGGGTCATGTGGCCAGCATGACTAAGCCGCTTCTGGCGAACCAGAGCAGCACACGGAAACGCCGTTCACCTTCCCGCCAGAGCAGTACCTATTTATCTACTTGCACTTTGACGTGCTTTCGAACTGCTAGGTTGGCAGGAGCAGGGACCGAGCAACGGGAGCTCACCCCGTCACAGGGATTCGAACCGCCGACCTTCTGATCGGCAAGTCCTAGGCTCTGTGGTTTAACCCACAGCGCCACCCGCGTCCCTCCAACGACTGGGGAGGCTCAGATCCACACACACCTAGCTATGAATCTCACAGGGTGGGCCTTGGGTCAGCCACTCTCTCTCAGCCTATCCTACCTCACGGGGTTCTTGGGAGGCTGCAGTGGAAGGGGCAGGAATACTATGCATGCTGCCTCGAGCTCATGGCGGTGGGGGGGGAGTCGGAATATTAATGCAACAAATAAAAATACATTTTTCTAAGTCCTTCTAAGCAGATGTAGAAAGCTGCAGTCTGCATATGGAAACCGAGGTACACACCACCAGCTTGCTTTTACAGCCTGGAAATTATAATGAACATGTGCAGGTATTCCTGGTGTTCCTTTTTTCCCTGCAGCCACGACATGCCCAATAGTCGCTCAGTCCAGACGGTTGCGCACGGTCAAATCCCAGCCGCCTGCTCTGTGTACTCGAAACATTATGGCAGCATCCTGCTCTGCAAGTCTGCACCTCGCAAAAGGCAGGAGGGGTGCTTTTTGTTCGTTATCTTGCTGAACGAATGCGGCAATTATAGTTCTGAGTTTCTCACCACCACTCCTTGCCTCAGGGTTTCCTCGCTGAAACTGCTTCCCTAAGCACCTGGGTCTCTATGGAACATCTATGGCACATGCTACACAGCTAAGAGGAAGGAGAGACTGTGTCCCAAAGCATGGTCTGAGTGCATGCATGTGTTGGGAAGAGGTGCGCATGGGAGGCGGCCTGAGAACCCTACATGCATTGCCTTGAGTGCCAGGATGGAAGAAACCATCATTCAGTGAGGACTTGGCCTATCTGTCGCCGCCACCTCTGTCTTTAGAGCGAACATTTTTGCCCTGATAATGAACAGCATTTGATCAACATTAACCCATGCAAGCTCCTGGTGTAGATGCCCCAGTGGGAGTTATTATGGAGAAGAGCAACGTGGGGTTGGCGGTAGTTCTGTTAACATCGCTGCTGGCTCACCAGAACTCCCCCCCCCCCCAAAAAACCCTATATGAAGTAGCTTAACTTTCATCCTCACTTTCCCTACAGTTCAAATCCTAAACTGGCAAAAAAACGGTGCTTACACCACGTTGAAACTGGGCACTTGTTGATCTTGGCAGCGACATCTTGAAATTCGATTTGGTTTGCTCTAATGGGTCATCGCTGCCTAGGGATGGCTCCAAGGGTGACCACGCAGAAGGTCCCAGGTTCAGTCCTGGGATCTCCAATTAAAAGGATCTTGGGAAGGAGGAACAGGAAACACCCCTTGCTCAAGAGCCAGTGCCAAACAGGAAAAAAACAAAGTACAGTGGTACCTCGGGTTAAGAACTTAATTCGTTCTGGAGGTCCGTACTTAACCTGAAACTGTTCTTAACCTGAAGCACCACTTTAGCTAATGGAGCCTCCTGCTGCCGCCGCGCCACCGGAGCACAATTTCTGTTCTCATCCTGAAGCAAAGTTCTTAACCTGAAGCACTATTTCTGGGTTAGCGGAGTCTGTAACCTGAAGCGTATGTAACCTGAAGCGAATGTAACCTGAGGTACCACTGAATGTACCTGAGGTACTGTACTGAGCTAGATAGGCAAATGGTCTAATTTTTAGTAATAGCACAGCTTCACAGGCTATCAACATTTCTCAGGAGCAAGCAACAAATAACACGTTGCATTAATAATAATAATAATAATAATACTAACCGTGTAGAGGCACTGCTCAAGGGGAGAGGAATCACGTGCCAATGTGAAACCACAGTGCTGACACAACCGCGGATGCCTGATTATCATCTTCCAAAGCAACTACTCTATTCCAAACTTAAAAATGGAAAGCGTAATGCTGGTGGTCAACAGAAGAGGTTTAAAGACTCTCTCAAGGCAAATCTTAAAAAATGTAGTAGAAACACCGACAACTGGGAAACACTGGCCTGTGAGCGCTCCAATTGGAGAACAGCCTTTCCCAAAGGTGTCCTGGGCTTTGAAGACACTCGAACTCAGGATGAAAGGGAGAAACGAGCTAAGAGGAAAGCACACTTGGCAAATCCACACCATGATCAACTCCCGCCCGGAAACCTATGTCCACACTGTGGAAGAACGTGTGGATCCAGAATTGGCCTCCACAGTCACTTATGGACTCACTGCTAAAACAGTGTTTATGAAAGAATCTTACTCAGCTACAAGGGATTGCCTAAGAAGAAGAACAGTGCTGACATTTCTGCTTGTTTCCATACCATCTCAGGAGCACAGAGCAAGCCAACCACTTTTGTTAAACACTTCAGGGTCTTTTAAACTTCTCCACTCATGTCCCTTCTTGCACAACAGAGGCTTGGGTGGGTGATCTCTTTCACTGCACTAAATAAGGATCTTGCGTAACACAGCATAGGGACGTGTTGTGCTTCCCATTCCAAAGAGCAAAACCCCCAGTGCCATTGTGGGCACGTCTTCGTCAGAGCAAAACAAAACAATCCATGCAACTTGCCGTGCCCCCCCCCCCCCCAGTTTAACTTCAGAGGCCCAGGCTGTCCCATCCCGTATGATTCACTCCTTCTCCAGGAAGCAAGCCACATTTATCAAGGTAGCTGGAAGCTGTTACCGGATCTGTCTCAAGAGGCTGGTTCCAGCTAAGAGCCTGGTGTGGGCAGAGGGCAGGAGAAAAGGCAAGGGAGGAGGAAGCAAGGAGAGACTATCTGTTTTGGAGAGCAAGAGAGAGGAATGGTTTGGAAAGTCAGGAGTTGGTGTAGCAGATCCTATTGGATCTCGCCCTTCTCACGGGGGTTCAAAATCCCCCAAGGACTTCTCAGGAGAGGGTGACTGTTGGGAGTAAGCACCGCTGAATCCAGTGGGCCTCATCCCCAGTCTTTGTACCCAGGATTGGCTTTTTCGTATTGCAGGCAAAATAAAAAATTAAAAATGGGGAGTTCCTGAAGGTCATATGGCAAAATCAGCAAGCAAGCAAAAAACTGTGGGGCGGCAGTGGGAGTGAAAAGGTTCATATTCCGCTCCAAATCGCAGAGCTATACTCTCACCGATGGGACGGCCTGTCACCTGCCTGAAAGTGGGGGTTGGCAATGTGGCCTAGTGGGCACACATGAATCTGCGGACCTTCTGTGGCAGCCTCAGGGTCCCTGCCTCTCCCCGCTGCTGAAATTAGGCTTGGGAGAAGCATTCTATCCTAGCCAATATAATGGGTGAGACACTCACAATTGTTTCTTCGGTTTGCAAAAGTGCCCACTAGCTCGCAAGGATTGGCAACCCCTGCAACTCTGCAGTGTCATCCATTGGGCCGTATAACTTTGTGGTGTTTGGGGTTTTTTTAAACTTGGTTCCGAGATGGGAGCTTGGCAAGGCCTTTTCACCTACTCCAGAGCTTGGAAAATTATGTGACCCCCTTGCCTGGAGTCCAAAACTCCAAATCCACTTAAACAGGACCAGAAAGAAGCTAAGAGTTCTGCTTTACAACTCACTATCCCTTGCCCAAAATCTACATCTTAGTTCTCTTCCCTTAGTACCGCAGGACTCATTTCCTTTCCCTTCCCCAAACAGAGCTCACCTGGTTCTCCACACCAACCAACACCACTCCCATTCCCACATTACCAGGGCAACATGTGAGAGAAACAACATTTATTTATCTGTCACATTGGCATCATGCCCTTCCTCCAGGGCACTTGGGGTGGCACATGTGAACTTATTCCACATTATCCTCCCAATAACCCCAACCCACTAGCAAGCTTTGAGAATGAGCAGAGATTTGATTCCTGGTCTTCTGGGGGCCGTTTTCATTACTACCCCACCCTCCACTATAACTCACAACTCGCTATGGTTTAGTTTCCCCTATTTCAGTTATCAGATCCTACTGGAGGGTTAAGACACAACCTAGTACACAGGCACAGATTGCATTTTGCAAACCCTTTGTCCTGTGCGTTTTTGTGTATCAACAGAACTACCACACCAGCGGTTAAACAGAGGCCAATTCACATTTTGCCAGCCCAGATTCTCAAAACCCTTTGACTTGTCTCCTTGCTGAAATCTAACCTGGGGGGGGGGGGATATTTCCTCTCTTGTTTAAACAGGCTTTCCTCATCTCCATTTTTCGAAGCTTCAAACCTCCCCCACCCAGTATCAAATACCGATTTAAAAAAGAAATGCCTAGATCTGAAAACCAAAACTCAAATGCACACCATGACAGTATTATTCTTCGGGAGAAGCATCTGTATCAAATTCAAACACTACAGCTGCGTAAGCTATTTCTAACGTATAGTTTAAAGGGCTAACCTAGGAGTTTCCCCCAACGCACAGGCTAGAGAGGGGGAGACTGAGAACAGGGGGCAGGGGATGTTGTTGTTAGACCTGCTCTGTCCCTTCCATTCAGCCAAGGGAGGGGAACACCTTTGACGCACACAAATATTCTGGAGTCAACCGGGTCAGCAAGGCGGGGGGGGGGGGAGGAGAGGTTCCAAACTTTTAGAGACCCGTGCGGGGGAGTGTGAGGGAGATGGATCAGCTCTCCAGTGGGCGACTTCCACAGAAGATCCGCACCCCACGCATCCCCAGAGCGAGAGAAAAGCGCCCGGGCGCTCTTACCTGCCTCTCCCCACCGCGGAGGACAAAGCCAAACGGCGCCAAGCCGGGCGCCCGGGACTCCGAGGTGGTTTACGGTCCGGCCACTACCACCTGGTGCCTTTCACAATCCGGATCCGAAAGTTGAGGCTCTGGGAGGCAGGCAGGCGGCGCAGGGGGCGTGCCGTGGCAGAGCAGCCGCGCTGGGCGCGGGTGGGCGCGGAGAGGCTCTTTCTTCCCTCGCTCGGCGCTCCCTCGCTTTCGGCTCCGGGAAGCTACGAGCTTGACATCACGGTGACATCAGCCCCCATTCAAGGCTCTTATCGGGCCTTCGCCCAGCCCTGTGCAACCAGATTGCAGGCTAATCAATCACCTTCCCCGCCCACCGGCCCCGAAATCTTTGTGTCTCGAGTAGACGCGCCGGAGCGAAAGTGCCGCCGCGCCCGCCTCCTCCTCCTCCTCCTCCTCCGGCTCATCCTCGAGTCGGTTCTCTGGCGCTGCGATTCCAGACCTGGTTTTGTGGCCGACACTCCCCCTTTTCTCCTCCACGCCTCTTCCTTCTTTCTTCATTGTATTCAGGCGCTCAGGTACAACAAATCCCGCATGACTGGTGAAGCTTAAATCTTTCGTGTGCGCGCGTTTGTTTCCAGGCTGCATTTCACAACGAGGTGGTGGCCCCGGTGGCTTAATTGCAATAAGAAACGTGGAGGGGGGGGGGGCTGTGGTGAACGCATGTGCTCAGAGGCACTCTGCATATGCTCAGAGGCACCCTGGGATTTGTTGTCGCTACATCAGCCCTGTTCTCACATCAGTAGGATCTCTTTGGGCTTGCTGCCAAATCACAAATCGTAGAATTGTAGAACTGTAGAGCTGGAAGGGACCACAAGGATCATCTAGTCCAACCCCTTGCAATGCAGGAATCTCAGTTGAAGCATCCATGACAGATGGCCATCCAACCTCTGCTTAAAAACCTCCAAGGAGAAGAGTCCACAGCCTCCCGAGTGCACTTTCTTCCCTTGCTCAGCGCTCTCTTGCTTTCGGTTCCAGGAAGACACAAGATTGACATCACCGTGCCATCAGCCCCCATTCAGGGCTCTTATTGGACCTTTGCCCAGCCCTGTGCAACCCGATTCTATCCTGTGCACACTTTCCCCAGACCACGGAACACAGTGGGAGCTGTTTCTGAGAAAACATGCATAGGATAGCTGTTAAAAGGGTAAAGGGACCCCTGAACATTAGGTCCAGTCGTGACCGACTCTGGGGTTGCGGTGCTCATCTCGCTTTATTGGCCGAGGGAGCCAGTGTACAGCTTCCGGGTCATGTGGCCAGCATGACTAAGCCGCTTCTGGCGAACCAGAGCAGCGCACGGAAACGCCGTTTACCTTCCCGCCAGAGTGGTACCTATTTATCTACTTGCATTTTGACGTGCTTTCAAACTGCTAGGTTGGCAGGAGCAGGGACCGAGCAATGTGAGCTCACCCCGTCGTGGGGATTCGAACTGCCAACCTTCTGATCGGCAAGTCCTAGGCTCTGTGGTTTAACCCACAGCACTACCCGTGCAAACAATTCCTTCACGGGCACCAGAACTTCCCCTCCGTACTAAAAGGAGGGACGAGGCCTTGGTTAAAGGTTAGCTCGGGCAGAGATAATTAGTTTAATATTCCCTTTTACTTCTGTTACTCTGGAGGCAATTGTCAGAATCTATATTCATTTATTTGTGCATCAGATTTTATTACCTGCCCCTCATCCCAGTCCCCAGGGCGGATCACAACAATAGAACGTCGCATTATAAAAACAGATAAAACATTGCAGGAACCAAACAAGTAAAACCCGTTCCAAATGGAAGGAAGCAGTGCACTCACTAAGTGGAAGAGTGTCGGTCTGCCTCCCAGACAGCACATATGATTCCTTGATTTCAAAGGGGGAAACAACCATCAGCAGAATAGCAAGGAGCAATTGCTTGCAGTGGTTTGAGGAGGGGGTAGGTCAGAGATTCAGACTGCTGTGTGAGCCTTGCTAGTCTGTGGCTTCACTACACACCTTGGTCCAAGTCTCTCAGGCTGCATGTTTGAACCCCAAACTGCGCATAAGCACCTGGCTCCTAGAAGCTGCTACTGCCATTGTGGTGTAGTCCAGTGTTAGAAACATATGAAAGCTAGAAGCTAAATGGCACCTTAATCCTAAATTTTGTTGTTGTTGTTGTTGTTGTTTAGTCGTGTCCGACTCTTCGTGACCCCATGGACCAGAGCACGCCAGGCACTCCTGTCTTCCACTGCCTCCTGCAGTTTGGTCAAACTCATGCTGGTAGCTTCGAGAACACTGTCCAACCATCTTGTCCTCTGTCGTCCCCTTCTCCTTGTGCCCTCCATCTTTCCCAACATCAGGGGCTTTTCCAGGGAGTCTTCTCTTCTCATGAGGTGGCCAAAGAATTGGAGCCTCAGCTTCAGGATCTGTCCTTCCAGTGTTCACTCAGGGCTGATTTCCTTAGGAATGGATAGGTTTGATCTTCATGGGACTCTCAAGAGTCTCCTCCAACACCATAGGATTAATTAATTAATTAATTAATTAGGGAGGCACAACAAAATATCTAGGCATGCTTTGTTTTTAATAGCAAGGTATGTTCATTTTTCACATGGTCCAATCCTTCCCCTGCCCACCCCCCTAATATTCTTAAGAGGGTCTCTTCTCCAGTCTTCAGAGAGTAGCTGGAATTGAGGAGGCAGAAAAGGGGCCTCCTTTCCTTCCACTCTGCAGTTTTAATCTGAAATCTTGGGCGCAGTACTGCACCCAGAGCTCAAATACTGCTCACACTAATGAAATTCCCTGTTGCAAAATGCGCCTACAGCAAGGGGAGTTTCGAACACCGGTGTAGTGGGGAGAGAGTTGGATTAGGACCTGGGAGACCAGGGTTCGAATCTCCACTCAGCCACTGACCTTGGGCCAGCCACTGTATCTCAGCCTAAGCTCATGGGGTTGTTGTAAGGACAAAATGGGGAAGGAAGAACCATGTAGACTACCTTGAGTTCCTTTCAGGAAAAGGTGGTATAAATGTAAGAAATAAAAAGAACTACTCACCCTCCTCAATTGGCTTTAATGCTTTTTTTAAAAATATTTTTTATTAAGAATTTAAACAAAACATATTGTCTTAATACATATCATCCTTCATTCCCCCCCCCCATAAAATAACCCAACCTCCCCTCCCTCCTGACTTCCCTCAGCTCCAATCTCTGGTTTCTCTACACATGCTATTCTCTGCATGTTACAAAATTGTATAAATTCTTAATTTATCAGAGTAGTTATTGTCAATAAAAAATTTGTGAGTGTTTATTCAAAACCTGCCAAGGAGTCCAGTTCACTTTGTTGTTGGCTTTAATGCTTTAAATATCCTAAAACATAGTCATTTACCCCTTTGAGATTCAAAGCTTTCTTCAGCTCAGCTGGTAGAGCATGAGACTCTTAATCTTGGGGTTCTGAGTTTGATCTCCACATTAGGAAAAATATTCCTGCATTGTAGGAAGTTGGGCTAGATTATCCTTTCAAACTCTATGGTTCTATGATTCCAACTGCTCTGCAACACCCTTCCTCACCTAGAAAAAGCATTAGCCTAGGACAGGCTACAAACTTTGGTCGCCAGCTGTTTGGGGACTACAATTCCCATCATCCCTGACCGCTGGTCCTGTTTGCTAGGGATGATGGGAGTCGTAGTCCAAAACCAGCTGGAGACCCAAGTTTGGGAAACCTTGGCCTAGGAGATACCTTTTGGCGAGGATTTGTACAAATGTAAGAACTCTATGTCAAGATTGCTTTGTGCGAAAACTGTATTTCAGTTGTGCCTTCTTCACTTTGCATCACAAAAGAGTACTCCTCTGCTTAGGGCACCTGTCTATCCAGAACTCAGTTTAATCTTTTCTCCTTAGAGGATGTTTGAAATTACAAGCTAAGAGAGAGGCAGTGAAGAGTGTACATTGCTCCTGGGAAATGCAATCATATGCTGGCAGCAACAACCTATATACAGTCAAAAGGAAAGTCCTTTTCCAGGGTGGAGGAATGCTAGGTCTCAGCATCCAAGTCAGGATAGGGTCCAAAGGGAGAGGATGGGGTAGACCAGGTGTCACCAGTCTTCTGATCTCAGCCTCTGGTTGTGGGTCTTCCCCTGTTAGCATGGTAGACGAATGTGCAAGGATACTATATATCTCAGTTCTCGAAATGCAAGGTGACTCATCCTGGTCTTAAATCTCTCCCTGGCTCCCTGACTCATCTGTCTGGGATCCTGATTTCCACTTAAACCCTGCCCTATTCCTGTGGAGTTTTTCTTGATGTTATAAAATACGGTCGTAGCCCAAGGTCTACACGATAACACTGTGTATTCCTTCCTCAGCAGGGATTTCAATTAAAATAACTTAATGAAATGACTTTTGCCCTGAAATAGGAGATTTCATACATCTCCCTTTATCAGTGCTACAGTGGTGCCTCGCAAGACGAAATTAATCCGTTCCGCGAGAGTCTTCGTCTAGCGGTTTTTTCGTCTTGCGAAGCAAGCCCATTGACGGATTAGCGCTATTAGCGCTATTAGCGGTTTAGCGGCTATTAAAGGCTTAAAGGCTTAGGGGATTAGCTGCTAAAGGCTATTAAAGGCTATTAAAGGCTTAGCAGATTAGATAAAGGGGGGGAAAAGCGGAAAAAATTCTAGACTCGCAAGGTATTTTCGTCTTGCGAAGCAAGCCCATAGGGGAATTCGTCCTGCGAAGCAACTTCAAAACGGAAAACCCTTTCGTCTAGCGGTTTTTCCGTCTTGCGAGGCATTCGTCTTGCGGGGCACCACTGTATTACTATTTCAGTAGCATTTTCATATACAGGAGCTTCACGATTCTCCATTTTAGCCTACGACAACTCCCTGAGATAGCTTCGGGCAGCCTTCGCCAACTGGGTGTGATGCTTTTGGGACTACAATTCCCATCAGCCCAAGACTGATGAAATATACATTAAACATCTGGAGGGCACCCTGTGACATATTTAAATAAGGAGAATGTTTATTTCGGGAAACAGAATGAGAGCAGCAGAGAATGAGTCAGGCAGAAGAGAAAAGCAAGGAAAACGATAATGTTAATTAAGCGATGTGAAATCTGGCAACGCTCTCTGTGCACAGCTGTGTGAGGGGTTTGAATTACTCAGGCGGGAGAGCGCACGGGAGCAAAATGTGGAGGTGAGGAAGATCCGGCAAGGGAGCAGCTTGGGCACACGTGCAGGATGCAGAGGAAATATCAGAACATCTGGAGAACCTGCTGGATCACGCCAAAGGTCTATCTCGTCTGGCACTCTGTTGTCACAAGGGCCGAACAGATGCCCGTGGGAATCCCAGAAGCAGACCTGAGGACACCTGAGCTCTCCCCTCTTGCAGTTCCTGGCAGCTGGTATTCAGAGATGTACTGCCTCTTAACAGTGGAGATGGAGCATACAGTGGTACTTCAGGTTAAGTACTTAATTCATTCCGGAGGTCCGTACTTAACTTGAAACTGTTCTTAACCTGAAGAACCACTTTAGCTAATGGGGCCTCCTGCTGCTGCTGTCGCGCCACCGGAGCACAATTTCTGTTCTCATCCTGAAGCAAAGTTCTTAACCTGAAGCAATATTTCTGGGTTAGCGGAGTCTGTAACCTGAAGCGTATGTAACCTGAAGTGTATGTAACCCGAGGTACCACTGTATAGCCATCATGGCTCATAGCCAGGAATAACCTCGTTCTCCACAAAGTTGTCAACTCTTCCTCTAAAGCCATCCTTTAAAGCTACCTCTTGTGGAAGCAAATTCCATCATCTTCTGAAGGAGGCTTGTGGGCTGTAGGTTGCTGCCTTGCGTTGACGATGAGGGATTATGGGTAAAACCAAGAACATGAGAGCTGCCTTTTTGAACCAGCGGGGAAAATAAATCTAGTTCCTGCTTTTGATTTCTGTCAGAAGAGTCAGCCCAGTGCCTCTGGCAACTCACAGGCAGGGCAGAGCTGATCAGAGTCAAGATCATAACAGTGAACTTTCGGCCCACTTTGAGCAGTCACAAATGTCCTCACTTTTTATTATAATAATATTTTATTCTTTTTTCCAAATGGAAAGTTACATTTATTACTCAACAATTCCAATTCTGCAGAACTAGTGGCTTCCCACTTACCCAACGTCGATGTTTGTAACCCAAATTATGTACAATTGTGTTTTAAGGTTCCATCTTGTCTAATTTCATCCTCTTTAACATGTTTCTTAATATATTCTGCTATTTTCTTACACTTCAAGCCATGCTGTGATCTTTGCACAGGGGAAATAACTTTCTGTATAGACTAGAAAGGCTTTCTATTCTTCTTTAAAAGATTCTAAATTTGTATCTTTTATTGGTGCCGCCAACTTTCCCTTCTCTGCAAAACATTTGGTACAAAGGTTCTCCTTGGGTCGGTCAGAAGCCCAAACTGAAAACTGTAGGTACTACAGTTTTCAAGGCACTCTTCTCAAAACCATGTACATCCTTTGAGAAGAATGACATCACAGATCTCGATGACGCAGGCCTTACTTATCTTGCTGCATTTTGGGTATAGGACGTGTGGTACAAACCAAACCTGCTGTGCAAAGCTACAGAAGTTAAATAACAGTGCCATTCTGTATGTGCATATTTCATTGTTGTTGCATTTATGCAACAACTCCAAGGAGCACAAGATGATGTACATGGCTCTCCACCTCCCCATTTTGTGCTCACAACCACCCTGTGAGGTAGGTTAAGACTGAGAGATGGTGGCAGGCCCAAGGCCCCCCAGTGAACTTGGTGGCTGAGTGGGGATTTGTGCCGTGGTCTCCCAGGTTCAACACACTAATCGCCACACTACAGTGGCTGTATACATCTATTCAGAAGCAAAGCCCATTGAGTTCAATGAGATTGGCTCCCAGAAAAGTGTGTATAGGATTGCAGCCTAAAAAAGTCGTTGATTCCCCAGTCATACCCATTGATTCATACCCATAGATCAGGACGGATGGCTCATACATTGCAAGTTAACAATTAATTGGATTTTGACTGTAAATTTAGGCTGGATAAACATTACCAGTTCAAAACACCCCTAGGTTGTTCTCTATCTCCATTCGGATCAAAGCCGATTTGGAAAAGCACACATATCAAAACACAATATTTCCTAGGAAATAACAAGATAGATAATGGATTGTGGCTAATGCGGTGTGCTCACCGCTTCCCAAATCCACTGGATGCAGAATAAGTGGAGGTGTGTACACAGCCATGAACTGGAAATACCAAACACGTCCATGCTAAAGTATTAGAGAAATAGATAATACAATTCATATCATATCAAGAACATTTGTTTTATTTCGTGCTTGCCTTCTGGTTCAAGCAACAGTCCTCTGTGCTTTAGATTGCCCTCTCCCTCAAAGGTCAACATCCTGCTGGGAGCTGTTCAAAAGTTCTTGTGGATCCCAGAAACTCAGAATAGACAGGGCTAGATCTGAAGATGCCATTAGGGAGGCAAAAGGGATGTCTTCATTGTGCGATCAGCAGAGCACGGGTACGAATTGATTCAAGACCATGAAGAGATCCAAGCACTGATAAGACAATTCTGCAGGACAAAGACAGATGCAGAGGATGTGCCATTGAAATTTCCCATAACTTTGGGAGTGGGACTTTCTTCTAAGGGGGGGGGCATGGCATCCCCATGCCTTCCAACCACTAGGAAGTCCTACCACATTTGAGATTTATCAGTATCTAATGCCTGTGCCTTCAGCAAGTATCTCTAGCTTTACTAATAGAACGGTTGCTCTGCTGGTTTTGTGCTTTCTAAGAGCTCTGCGAAGGCCAGATGGCATTGGAGACGCAGACATAGCTTATTACTGGCTGTTACGCAGACACACACACACACACAAACCCTCCTTACTTTGTCCCTCCAGGCTTTTGTGTAACTTGAACTTCCACCAGCATCACGCCTTTGAAACGTAATGAAGGATCTGCTTTAACCCACTTCCTGCACTTCGGTACCGAAAGACTGCAATGCAGACGTTGCTGAATGCACAGCAGCCTAGCACAGTGACATCTATCTGTCTGTATCCCCCCCCCCCAACATTCATCCTAAGAACCGGCGAGACATGAAAGCTTCCTTTTAGAATTTTAAATACCAGATGGCTCTGTTAAAAGTACTGCTTCGCTCGCTTGCCGCTAATCATAGGGGCAACGTTGTTGGTTTTTTTTGCTGAGCATGCTTCTTACTTGACAATGCTCTTCTGAAAAGTGTAACCAGAAGCTAGTGAACTGGGAGCTGGGGGAAAGCCAGGCTGGTTCTTGCACAAAAAGTCTGTGAGGATCTCTTCAGTGCTGGCAAACCCACTGGTCTCTGGGGGCACATCGCTGTGGACAGAAGCACCCCCTTATAAGCTCAAAGAAGTGTGGGTAAGTGTAGCGTTGCAGAGCAGAGTTTTCCCAAATGGTGGGTCACATGCGAGTCTTTATGGCCCAATCAGCACACG